GCTTACACCCATTGTATGTGAACGTTAGAATCTATCACACCCGATCATCACATGGTGCTTCTAAACGATGAACTTTTGCAATGGTGCACAGTTAGGGGGAACACTTTCTTGAAATTTTAATGAGGGATCATCTTATTTACTACCGTCGTTCTAAGCAAATAAGATGCATAAACATGATAAACATCACATGCAATCAAAAAGTGACATGATATGGCCAATATCATTTTGCTCCTTTTGATCTCCATCTTCGGGGCTCCACGATCATCATCGTCACCGGCATGACACCATGATCTCCATCATCATGATCTTCATCATCGTGTCTTCATGAAGTTGTCTCACCAACTATTACTTCTACTACTATGGCTACCGGTTAGCAATAAAGTAAAGTAATTACATGGCGTTGTTCAATGACACGCAGGTCATACAATAAATTAAGACAACTCCTATGGCTCCTGCCGGTTGTCATACTCATCGACATGCAAGTCGTGATTTCTATTACAAGAACATGATCAATCTCATACATCACATATCATTCATCACATTCTTTTGGCCATATCACATCACATAGCATACCCTGCAAAAACAAGTTAGACGTCCTCTAATTGTTGTTTGCATGTTTTACGTGGCTGCTATGGGTTTCTAGCAAGAACTTTTCTTACCTACGCAAAGACCACAACGTGATATGCCAATTGCTATTTACCCTTCATAAGGACCCTTTTCATCGAATCCGATTCGACTAAAGTGGGAGAGACTGGCACCCACTAGCCACCTTATGCAACAAGTGCATGTCAGTCAGTGGAACATGTCTCACGTAAGTGTACGTGTAAGGTCGGTCCGGGCCGCTTCATCCCACAATACCGTCGAAACAAGATTGGACTAGTAACGGTAAGCATATTGAACAAAATCAACGCCCACAACTACTTTGTGTTCTATCGTGCAAAGAATCTACGCAATAGACCTAGCTCATGATGCCACTATTGGGGAACGTAGCAGAAATTCAAAATTTTCCTACGAGTCACCAAGATCTATCTATGGAGAGACTAGCAATGAGAGAGAGGAGAGTGCATCTACATACCCTTGTAGATCGCTAAGCGGAAGCATTCAAGAGAACGGGGTTGAAGGAGTCGTACTCGTCGTGATCCAAATCACCGGAGATCCTAGTGCCGAACGGACGGCACCTCCGCGTTCAACACACGTGCAGCCCGGTGACGTCTCCCCCGCCTTGATCCAGCAAGGAGAGAGGGAGAGGTTGGGGAAGACTCCGTCCAGTAGCAGCACAACAGCGTGGTGGTGATGGAGGAGCGTGGCAATCCTGCAGGGCTTCGCCAAGCACCGCGGGAGACAAGGAGAAAGAGAGGTAGGGCTGCGCCAGGGAGAGGTGGAAACTCTTGTGTATGGCAGCCCCAAAACCTCAAGTATATATAGGGGAGAGGGAGGGGGCTGCGCCCCCTTTAGGGTTCCCACCCCAAGGGGTGCGGCTTCCCCAAAAACCCATCTAGTGTGGCGGCCAAGGGGGGGAGAGGGGGAAACTTGCCCCCCAAGCAACGTGGAGGCGCCCCCTCCCCAAACCCTAGGCGCCTTGGGCCCTTGTGGGGGGGGGGCACCAGCCCACCTGGGGCTGGTTCCCTCCCACACTTGGCCTATGCTACCCTCTGGGGCCGATGGCCCCACTTGGTGGACCCCCGGGACCCTCCCGGTTGTCCCGGTACGTTACTGATAGCACCAGAAACCTTTCCGGTGACCAAAACAAGACTTCCCATACATAAATCTTTACCTCCGGACCATTCCGAAACTCCTCGTGACGTCCGGGATCTCATCCGGGACTCCGAACAACATTCTGTAACCACGTATATCTATTCCCTATAACCCTAGCGTCATCGAACCTTAAGTGTGTAGACCCTACGGATTCGGGAACCATGTAGAAACGACCGAGACAACTCTCCGGCCAATAACCAATAGCGGGATCTGGATACCCATGTTGGCTCCCACATGTTCCACGATGATCTCATTGGATGAACCACAATGTCGAGGATTCAATCAATCCCGTATACAATTCCCTTTGTCTAGCGGTATTGTACTTGCCCGAGATTCGATCGTCGGTATGCCGATACCTTGTTCAATCTCGTTACCGGCAAGTCTCTTTACTCATTCCGTAACACATCATCCCGTGATCAACCCCTTGGTCACATTGTGCACATTATGATGATGTCCTACCGAGTGGGCCCAGAGATACCTCTCCGTTACACGGAGTGACAAATCCCAGTCTCGATTCGTGCCAACCCAACAGACACTTTCGGAGATACCCGTAGTGCACCTTTATAGCCACCCAGTTACGTTGTGACATTTGGTACACCCAAAGCATTCCTACGGTATCCGGGAGTTGCACAATCTCATGGTCTAAGGAAATGATACTTGACATTAGAAAAGCTTTAGCATACGAACTACACGATCTTTGTGCTAGGCTTAGGATTGGGTCTTGTCCATCACATCATTCTCCTAATGATATGATCCCGTTATCAACGACATCCAATGTCCATGGTCAGGAAACCGTAACCATCTATTGATCAACGAGCTAGTCAACTAGAGGCTTACTAGGGACATGGTGTTGTCTATGTACCCACACATGTATTTGAGTTTCCTATCAATACAATTATAGCATGGATAATAAACGATTATCATGAACAAGGAAATATAATAATAATAACTAATTTATTATTTCCTCTAGGGCATATTTCCAACAAGCCGGTCTTCACTGACACGGGGTTTGGGAGGAAGAGGAAGTGGAAATGGACCCGACCGCACTCCCGTAGACGAGTTGATATGGGTGTTACTCCCTCCCCAAGCTCCTCATGCATCAAGGCCAAATCATATGCTAAATCTAAATCCTTGGGCTTCTGAAGCGCCACAGCAACTCGAACACCCGTTTTGAGTCCGTCGAGGAAACGAGTGGTGTAATGTAAGGTGTTGGGAATTTCCTCATATGCGGACAACTGATCATACAAATCAGCGAATCTATCCACATAATCCACAACTGTGCTAGTCTGGGCTATACGGAAGAGCTGGCGGAGCAGTGTCTAGTGTTGATTTCTGCCAAAGCGACTCCACAAACTGTAGCAGAATTCAGACCATGACATGTTTGGAGACTTGCGTTGGACTGATTCCAACCACCGAGCTACTGCCCCATCAAATTGAGACGTCGCCAGCGAGATCCATCTGTGCGGCGGAGTATTCCAGAGTTTGAACTGGTCTTCGCGCCTGTTTTGCCACAACCTCGGGTTTGCATCGTCGAATCAAGATAGATCCACACGAACACCAAACGAGAACGCGTCGGCAGTATCTGGGTAGCCCGCATCACCGATAGGAGGAGAACAAGCACGAAAATTGGAATAACGCGCACCTCTGTTCGGAGGAGGGACATAAGTGTTATGTGCCTTCCCCCGATGTTCCTGATCGATGCCAAGGGAGTCGGAGGCGGCGCTGTGACCACTCCCAGCCATCCGTGAAAGGTCTCGACGCGCCCGGTTGGTTCCCGCGGTCGCTCGCTGCGGACTTGCTCGATATCGAGCACAAACTCGTCCCGCACGCCGTCCACCCGCGTTGACAACAGAGCGTCGAGCGCCGTCGTGTTCGCCTGGATGAGCTTGTCGACGGCTTGGAGAAGATTGTCGCTGTGCTTCTTGAAGTGCTGGTCCAAGTCGGCGGTGAAATCCGCCTGCAGAAGCGCGTAGACGCCACGCCCGTCCTCGGACAACTTGTCCATCGCCTCCACTCGCCGCCGATCTCGCCACCGCGTCCAGTGGTGATGCCGCGGAAGCTCCAGGACCGCTGAATCTGATACCAACTGTAAGCAGCACACTGGATCTGGGAGGAATTAGGGATTCAAATTCGAAATTGGGGAAAGTTTCGGTAGCTAGCCACCCAACCACCCTCACAGCTATCCGTTTACACCGGCCGAAGCCGTCATCCAATTCCTAGCCAACTATTACAGGAAGAGATCGATGTCTATTTAAACGAGTGACCGTTAGTATAGTTAACAGGCCAGGTTGTAGTCTTTGAGCCAACGCGGTGGGTTGGTCGTTCGCTTGGGCCGTCGGGCCGGCCCATCTCAGGCCGCTGATCAACAATAGCTCGTCCCGACTGAACCATCGGTTCAGTCCCTGCCTTGGCGACGTTGACACTTCGTGTATAACTTTCTCCGACTCGCTTGCCGGGAAGCACTGGCACCCGCAAATGATCTACAGATCAATAAAATTCTTGTGTATTCAAACTGTATGACAGTGGTTAAGGACGTGAAGAAGAAATTTTGAGGCTGATATGGTGCCATCATCAAAGAAAATTAATGCAAGATCAAAGGAGTTCGAAAGCTGCAAATTCATTCATGAGAGTAGTAGAAGAATTTTTTTAGGTTGATTCTTTAGCTAAATTTTCTTTGTCTCTAGACTTAGGTAGACATGTTTGATTGATTCATCTGCATGATATTGTAATGATCCCTTTGAACTTATTTGAATAAAAATTGTTGTACCCCTAAAAAAACAGACTTCACTGCATATGAAGATACCGTGCATTCAAGTTTTCATTGGGCACATTTAGCATGCCTCGAATTCATTTTTTCTTTGAATTACTCTTTTTTTTGTGTATAGATTTCGCACGGGAAACTTTTATAGGAGAAGTTTGAATTCGTTCTATTCAGATATTGAGCGGTCTTGGTTTGAAATGGTTTAATTTTTTAGGCTTTTTTAGCAAAAAAAAGGCTATTTGAAATGGTTTAATTGCCTGCATAATTTGGGCAGCCTTTGCTCTCTTTTTTTTGAGCTTGCTAAAGTTATGTCCACAAAAGATGCATGAAAAATGGAAGCCCAGATACGTTAGAGAAAATGAGGCCTGCACAGCCAACGGGCTTCGTAGTCTCGTAGGTGTAGAAAAAAAACTCCGAGGCTCGGAGGTCTCCACGCCTCCACCGCCCCACTCACAACCTTATCGTCGCCGCGGCCTGAGCACAGATGGCGCCGCCGGCAGCAGCGCCGCCTCCCGCCATGTCCGCCCTCCCCACCTTCGCCTCCTCCCACCCATACCCTTCCCTCACCACGCCCAAAACCGCCGCCCTCAAACCGCGCCTCAACCTGGCCTATGCCGGCGCCGCCGCGGCCCCCAATGCCGTCCCCCACCGCAGCGCCGCCGCCTCCAACGACCGCCTGCGGGGTCTGGTCCGCCGCGGCGACCTCGAGGAGGCCCTCCGGCTCGTCGAGTCCATGGCGGGCATCGAGCCGTCCGCGGCCGCCGCGGGGCCCTGCGCCGCGCTCATCAAGAAGCTGTGCGCGTCCGGGCGCACCGCGGAGGCCCGGCGCGTGCTGGCCGCCTGCGAGCCCGACGTCATGGCCTACAACGCGATGGTCGCCGGGTACTGCGTCACGGGGCAGCTCGACAACGCCCGCCGGCTCGTCGCGGCGATGCCCATGGAGCCCGACGCCTACACCTACAACACCCTCATCCGCGGCCTGTGCGGGCGCGGCAGGACCGACAACGCCCTGGCGGTGCTCGACGATATGCTCCGCCGGGGGTGCGTGCCCGACGTGGTCACCTACACCATCCTGCTCGAGGCCACCTGCAAGAGGAGCGGGTACAAGCAGGCCATGAAGCTGCTCGACGAGATGCGCGACAAGGGGTGCGCCCCGGACATCATCACCTACAACACTCTTCTTACCCCGACATCGTCTCATACAACACTCTTCTTACCGCGCTGTGTCGCGGCGGGGAAGTTGATGCCGCTGTTGAGCTGCTTCATCAACTGAAGGACAAAGGCTGCACCCCTGTCTTGATTAGCTACAACACCGTCATCGATGGCCTTACCAAAGCCGGCAAGACAGAGGAAGCTTTAGAACTGCTGAATGAGATGGTTACCAAAGGGCTCCAACCGGACATAATCACTTACTCGACAATATCTTCTGGTCTTTGTCGGGAAGACAGAATCGAAGAAGCGATCAAAGCATTTTGTAAAGTGCAAGACATGGGCATAAGGCCCAACACTGTGCTGTACAACGCGATACTTCTTGGGCTCTGCAAAAGGCGTGAAACACACAGTGCTATCGATCTGTTTACTTACATGATATCGAATGGCTGCATGCCAAATGAATCGACCTACACTATATTGATTGAAGGCTTGGCTTACGAAGGCTTGGTCAAGGAGGCACGGGAAATGCTGGCTGAGTTGTGCTCCAGAGGAGTGGTGAGTAAGACTTTGGTAAATAAGGGAGCCATCCGGTTACTTGATGCTTGAAGGAACTATGCATACTTAAAAAGGTTGAGCAGACCAGTAGGAGTGTGTGGATCCAGGAATATGTTCTTCTGCATCTTCGGCAGTACGTAGAGATACTTCATTGTTCTTAATGATGTCTTATTCGATGCTGCCTTCTTATGAACATGTGAGTCTCCTTTCTTAATGTGAAGCGCACAGCCTCCTCCAGTTCAACTTGCTACAAACTTGTACAGGATTCTTCTCTATTCTTTAATATACTCAATAGGGAACTATCCTATCTCGTCTCCGTAGAACTGTTCTGACTGGAAAATAGTTTTGTTTTCTTAGATTACACAGACTAAAGAAAGGATTGCATTGACACTCTATTCTGATTCAAACTACTTATGCTGCTTTCTGAGCTGAGTTCGCAATAGAAACTGAGACAAATCCAATGTTTATGCTATTTAGCCAGATAATCATAGATACATAAATTTTCTGAAGTTTGCCTATCTGCTGTAACTATCCACTGAGTTCTTTGGTTATGCCAAGTTTATATTTTTATCATTCATCACTGTATCATGTATGAATATAACACCTGCATTTACTCTGGTTATAGCGGTGATGTTCAGTTATATATTCTATGCTATGTTTCCAGCAAAACATTAGAAACTTCAGTTGGCATTGCGCTGTTCATAGTGTTGGATCCATGCAGTTTGTTCTTTCCCAGTTTGCATAAAAAGGTTATTTTGTAGGTGACGAAGCATTGGCCATTGGTCAGAGTGACAGAGTAGATATTACTCCCTCTGTACGGAAATATAAGAGCATTTAGGTCACCACTTTAGTGATCTAAATGCTCTTATAATTCTTTATGGAGGGAGTACTTATCTACTAAACTTGTGAAGGAAGTTTTCAATAGTACTTCTGCAGTTACATTTCTACTGAATGTTTGAGTCCGAGTTTCTGTAAACTTCCGAGTTCCGACAGAATTTCAACGAAGCATGACTTTGCCCAGACTGTAGACACAACTATGATTGATCCCATAGAAAGAAATGCAGGGGGGGCCTTTCTTTTTTCTGAAAGATCCTGTTAAGTGCTGGCCTTTTCTTATAGTAGATATTTAGCAGGGAGCAAAGTTTACATGCAGGTCCAAAGGATCAAAGAAGGGGAAAAGAAAGGTAACGAAAAAGACCCCTCCGGAGGCAGCGACGTCCGGCTGATTTCTCACGACGGATCCCCGAAAGGGGACTCCGTGCACTTTGTGCCGGCTATTCGCCATAGCTCCAGGCATCTCCGGATTGACGCGACGATGCTGTTGCTGTTTATTGCCTTATTGGTGCAAGGCCCTTCTGAAGGTGCGGCTGTTTCTCTCTCGCCAGGGGTGCCGATTGATACGCCCTAACTGAATTTGGCACATGAGATGAGCAGCTGCCATGGAACTATCTTCTTTTGCAAGGGGTATCTTCCTTTCATTTATAATTTTTTTTTGAAGTTGAGTTGAATCTTAATTCAAATCAATTCACAGTCCTGATATCCATTAGGAGAAACGGAGGGGCTTCACGAAAAATGTGTAGGCAGCTGCCATGGTTGTCTGTTTACTTACAGAATAGGACGAAATCAGAGTACAGAAAAGAGACAGCATTTGCGATGCCGGTGTGCATGTCATTCTTTTTAGATGTTCAGCCAAAAACAACCTCCTTCTGAAGCCTTAACCAAATCTAACACTTTTGTTTAGCGCCGGTTTCCTTGACGCTGAACTTACCTATGCCAGCACCAATGCGCCAGTTGCGCCCTGTTGGTATTGTTGGATTTTCAATTTTTTTTTACTTCCTTGTTTCAAAATATAAAGTTTATTAGTTTTTTTTAAATGTCAAACCTCAGCTTCACTCCGAGGGCTCATGGCGTTGAGCTTGCCGGCCATGAGGAAGACATGACGTGGAACACAGACGGCTCTGTAAAACGAAGAGTTTATGGTAGCGTGACATGCCTAAGGAGGTTTACATTACTTGCGCACTTGTATCATGTAGTTAGGAGGATATTCATCTTGTAACCATAGTCCTTATCTCTACCTTGGTCCTTATCTCTACCTTTTCTTCTCTCTTAAGATTGTAATTGTAGAAGTGTATGCTCTAGCCAATGCAACCAAAAGACCGATCTGATGGAAGAGACTAGGCAACACATTATACGTCAACACTCCCCCTCACGTGTGGCTCCCTCAGGCCTAAATGTGGACCGAAAGTGGGCTGCAATTTAATTGCGCCAGCCGGGTTTTGAACTCAAGACCTCTTGACTCCGATACCATATTAGGAAAGCAACTTATCATTATTGAAGGCCCAAGGGGCATATATATATTACACATGACTTGAGGTGTAAGGAAACTAAACATAGACTAATAAGGACTCCTAGACCAATACTAATACTCCTTAACACCCCCCCCCTCAAATGCAAAGCGTATGCAATAGCATTGCATTTGAAGAAGTGTAATACTAAAAAAATGACAATCCAAATCCGCGTTTTGAGAGTGTCGTCGTAGCATGAAGAGTCTTCAAAACATGTCGAGTCGCCAAAGGGGATAACGAAGAGATGGCACATCATAGGAAGACACCGCATCGATAGAAGGTATAAGAGAAGTATCAAGAGAAGATGGGTTGTCGAAAGAAGATGTCACATCAAAAGAATGAAGCATTGCTTAAAGAATCATGGCCTATGAAAACACAAAATATCAACGGATTTGGTGGACGCAACGGAAATTATACTAGAAAACACATACTAGAAGGGAAATCTAGCAGTGGCGGCGAAACTAGATCCATGGGTGACTAACAGCAACACGCAGTAGCAGGTAGTAGTACCACGTAGTAGCATCACCACATAGCAGCATCACGTAGCTGGTAGCAGTACCCCAATCCAGCAGCTGTAGGCAGAGGATATGCACGAGCAGTTGCACCAGGAGGAACCCATGAGCAACAACAGAAGGCTGAAGCAGCCCAGGATGCCCAGATCTGGTAAAGAAGAAGCCGGGCGGGACGAGATCGGTGGATTGACTGGGAGTTGACCAGCGGATCGGCCACCTTGGACGGGATCCACGAGGCAGAGAAGGCAGCCAGCGGCCCGATCTGGCCGAGGCATTGCCAATGCCAAATAGATCGACATGTGCAGCCGCTCCTGGCTGAATCAGCGGATGGCCTTGTCCATCGCGTGCAGCAGCTCCCGTCCTTGTCCAGCGGAGGCGGGCATTCGCACCTGCAGCGGGGGCCAGGTCGGGGCGCTGACCAGCAGGCCGGGGTGATGTGCACGTGCAGATCAGGAGAGGAGCACATACGCAGCACGTTGATGTAGATTGAGGCATGCTGTAGCTATAACAAGAGGGAGCAGCGTCGACCATCAGAGGAGAAGGGCAGCAGCGCGAGCAAGATTGGATCGGGAGATCGAGAGGAAGAACTCGTTGCACTTGACGACACTCTCCCATGTAGAAGTGCATGCTCTAGCCAATGCAACCAAAAGACCGATATGATGGAAGAGACTAGGCAACACATTATACGTCAACAGTAATCTCCAACTATATGCGCTATCCCAGGGAGGTGCACCCCTGGTCTATAAACACGTACAGCGCCCCTCACGATGAGGTAAGACGCTTTTGCCTAATGCACATGGTAATCAGAGCCTCCTCTTCCAAACCCTAGCTTTTTTCGATCTTCATTAGTGTCAGCCATGTCTTTCTTCAGTGCCTTCCAATCCAACCTAAGCGGTCAGGTCACGGAGAAGCTCTCCCGCATGAACTATGTCAAGTGGTGAACCCAAGTTACGCCGCAGTTGAGGGGAGCCGGGCTCTTCGGCTACGTCGACGACACCTTGCCGGAGCCCACCCGCCTCCTTGTCACCAAGGACAATGATGGGAAGGAAACGTTCGAGCCCAACCCTTTCCATCCCATCTGGGCCAGGAAGGACCAACATGTGTTCGGCTACCTCCTCAACAACCTATCCAAAGAGGTGCTTATCGCCGTGACCGTGGTCACCACCGCGCACGCCCTCTTGATGACGCTAGCAGGCATGTTCTCTTCTCAATCCTTGAGTCGTGTAACCAACATTCGCACTGCCTTGATCAATGCACAGAAGGGCAATCAGTCGGTTGCCGCATACTTCGCCTCCATGCGTGGTCTTGGCGATGAACTCGCCGTGGCCTGCAAGCCAAACCAGGACGACGAGCTCATCTCCTACCTGCTACATGGGCTGGACATGGACTATCAGCCCCTCGTCCCTGCCATAGACGCCCACATCACGCCGGTCTCCCTCGACGAGCTCTACGCCATGTTGAGCAACTTCGATCAGCGTGTCACCCAATTTCACAGCACCAGTGGCGGCTTCAAGTCCTCTGCGAACACGGCCACTCGCGGGCGCGGCGGGTACTCTTCTCGTCATCGCGGCCCTCCTCGATCCAAGGGAAAGCAAGGAGGTGGGAGCTCCAGCAACTCTGGTTCCCGCGGCGGTCGCCCCATCTCCACCAACAACAGGGGTCGCCGCGGCGGCGGTGGCGGTGGCGGTGGCTCGAGCAGATCACGACCCGATGCAGTTCGCTGCCAGATCTGCGGCAAACTTGGCCACACGGCTAAAGATTGTTGGTATTGTTTTGATGAAGACGAAGCTTCCTCTCATGAAGCTGACAAGGTTGCTGCTGCCGCCGTAGGATCCTACGGCGTTGATACCAACTGGTATCTTGACAGTGGCGCAACAAACCATCTCACGGGGGAGCTCGAGAAGGTAACCCTACGTGGGAAGTACCACGGTAAGGACCATATTCACACCGCCAGTGGTGAAGGTATGAGCATAAGTCACATTGGTCATTTGGTTATACGTACCCCTTCTCGTAAAATTCATCTTCGAATTTTTTTGCATGTCCCTAGTGCCAACAAAGATCTTCTATCCGTTCATCGCATTACCATTGATAGTCATGTTTTCATTGAGTTCCATACTTTCTTCTTTTTGATCAAGGATCAGGCCACGAAGAAGGTACTATATCAAGGTAGATGCATTTGAGGTCTTTACCCATT